AGGATGAGCACCAGTTTGTTGAGGAGCCTCGAGAGGAGCTATCTCAGGTCTAGTGGTGAGTGTCTCATCATCAGGGAGGACAATCACTGATGAATCATGGACATGTGTAGCGACCAATGATGGAGGAGAGGTGAAGATGGTTGAGAGTGATTGTGGGTGTTCAGCAGTGGCAGCGCTGATATTCACACCTTCAGTGATTTGAGTCACTAAGGCGGTTGGGAGAGGTACCACTGATACGACAGTGATATCAGGAATCACTAAAGAGCTAGGAAGGCTGATAGAAAGTCCATCGGTGTAACACCCCCTTCAAACTCGCGTTGCATCTAACATAAGTTCTTATAGAAAGAAATACATGTTTACCCCAAATAGGTCCATAATACAAGAGTCTATATTACAAAAATATACAACTCAAAAATTCAAAATACATGCTCTTGTAATCATAACATCTATTCTCCAAAACACATCCAAATATGATCTTCATAAAGCTAAGCACATAGGGAAATAATTCAGATTTTCCCTTTTCCTTTACTATCATTATAATCTGCGTTTCCTGCAACACATATGTGAAAACACAAAATGAGGGTTAGAACTAGAGGTCTAGTGAGATCCCCTTTTTTCATATAGTTGCAGGGTGAAAATCACCAAAACATTATTCAAATAAAATCATTTCACGTAATGAAGTATAAATCCATACTCTGTTATGTCCATCGGACCTCTGGTTCTATAGACCAAACTTAGAAAATATTTCAACAAACAAGATGACCAGTTCTCCTCTGGTTCCTCTACCAGAGCTTCTGGTTAAGCCAGCCAGAGCCTCTTATTCAAGTAAAATCTCAAAACGTTCATAGATCAATCTCATAGATAATAAAATAGTTTTCCCAAAGATAAAAAAGAACACATTTTGAAAAGGATTTTATATGACCAGAGCTCTGGATCTACGAGCCAGAGCTTTTGGCTCAAAATGCAAGACCAACCAGAGCTTCTGGTTCAACCCGCGTAGGCCAACCAGAGCCCCTCTGGTCTGTCTTACTTTTTAAGAAAAACTTCTAAGTATAAAACCTTTTTGAAAACTCTTTTAAAGTATAATTTTGACACAGAGCTCTTATCTATAGATATAGAGCCTCTAGTTAAACTAAAATTTTACAAAAGACTTGTATAATTCTCAAATCAAAGTCTAGAACCCTCTGGTTCTACTATGAGGACCAACCAGAGCCCCATCGGTTCATTTCAAGGAACAACTAGAGCCTCTCTGGTTCCTCTAAAATCGAACACTTGATCTAAAACAAATTTTATCCAAAACCAATGGCCATAAGCCAAGTTTTCCCCTTCTCAATAACATCAATACTATCATTTCTAAAAAGAACAACATCTCTGAGTCCTCAAATCACAAAAAAGTAAGAACTCAGATATATTGTAATCTTACAAGACATAATAGCAAGAGCTATAATAACCACACACAAATGCAACCCTTATATCCAGAGGTGCACCTCTCCTTGATATGCCACCTTTATATCCGAAGGTACACCTCTCCTTAATATGCCACCATTATCTCATGGTACATTTCTCCTTGATATGTCACCCTTATTTCCTCATCAAAATCTATGGATTAGTTCCAAACGAAGACAAACCGAAGTCACAACCGTCTTGATGAGATGTCCTCTATAGTTTTCAACCAATAATGGTTTCAAAACAGTTTTATCATCAAAACTTTCAACTCAAGAACACTCTGTTCTTTAAATGATCTCTCAAAACATCAAATCCCCTTTAAATCCTCAAAACAGAATATCAATCCCAAACTATTTTAAAGAATAGTTTATGTTTCTTCTTTTCAAAACAGTTTCAAATTCCAAGATCATGAAACACTTTGTTTAAACTGTTTAGAAAACAGTTTTTACCAAACTCTTTCTAAATCTCAAATCACCAAAACTCAACAGTTTATATGACTACAAATATAAAGGTTCTAGTTTAAAATTTTACCTTATCAAACAAAGATTCTACAAATTTTAGAACACAGCAGATCTTCAAACAACACAGAATCTTCAAATATTTTTGAGCAATAGGTTCTTTTCAAGAACAGTCTCACCGCCACAAACACTCCTTTTCTCTCTAAAAAGGTTTCTTTCTAAAAATTGAATGATAAGAGATGATCTTATCTATTCTTCTTTCTTTATATATTTTCACAAAGGCGGTGGAGTCTTTTTATTAATTTAAAACTCACAGGCGGTGGGGTTTCTTCAGTGTATGTTGAATCTTGGGTAGATTTCACACTTGTGTAGACATGCTTGTTATCACTGAAACCACATCAGATCATGAACTTGCTTGTCTCTGTCTTCAAATTTATTCTCGATATCACCGAAGGTTCTGTGGTGTGATTTTTGTCTTCCTAAAGATTACATGTCTTTCTGAGAATTGCAGTACTTGTTTAGCGATTACTGAACAGACTCAGTGAAGATCGTTGAAGCTGAATAAGGAGATAGTACACTTCATAAGATAAAAGGATCATCATCAAATCACTAATGGAGATGATCAACACGTTTTCTTTTTTGTGTTTTCGTCCCAAATCAGTTAAATACAAAATATTCCATTTCTTTTGTTATTGATTTTATTTATTACAATAAAATCATATTTTCGAGTATTGACACTTTAATCTCGTATGTCATTTACTCTTTAAATTTAACCCTCAATATTTATTTATTTTAGAAATCATAAATTTTAGAGTGTTATGTACGGTCCCGGAGTCCAACTCATAAGAGTTCCGCTCTACAATACCAAGAAGACCATATAGCTTACTTAAGCACTAGTTTCCAAGATCAATATTGAGCAATTTAAACCAGACAAATGTCCTTAAAACTCAAATGGGCTAAAATCAAGTCAGTAGCTTCACACATATCTAATTACTTAAATAAAAGTCCATAAGCGACAAAACGCATTTAACCAACATTTTATGTAAGCATATGACCAACATTTTATGTAAGCACATGCTCCAAAAGTGTAACTAACTCAAAAACCCATCATTGGTTAAGACAAATCATTTTCCAAAAGAAATCATACTCTTTATATTTCCTTGCGACCTTAAAATGCAATCGCATTCTCTTGTCCAATTGTCGTTTTTGTTTATGTATTCCTGATTTATCCACTATGTCAGTGTGGTTGGTTCTTTGCGCCTAGTTTTGGTGGAGCATCTATATTTCGATTTATCCTCTTTTTTTAAGGATTTCATAACTAGACATTGAACCTATTTCATATGATGGGAAAATACATTTTATAAAAGGTTTGTAAAACTAAATATATTTAAAGTGCGTTGACGTCAAATAATCTTCATTTATACCATAAAACATCAAAAGAACACACTTTTATGTCTTATTTTTCAAAATGTCCGAAATCCCCAAATGTAAGCATTTACAAAATTTATAAAATCAAATGTATCATAAATGCAAATTTCGTCAAACAGAAAACACATTTGATAAATGGACATTTTTGACACATACAAAGTTTTTCACAAAGCAACTTGAACTGGCTTATTAGGTTAATTTAAACCTAGATTCCACACCTAAATGTTTAGCTTCTAAAAAGGCTTGAGATCCAACAAGCAAGAAAACATCTCTTAGAACTTTCTCCAAATCTCAACCCAAGTCTAGAGATGCATGAAAATCAACCACGATATTAGTTTCCGCAACAAAACTCATTCTAGATCTCAAAACACCAAAAAAAAAACCTTAGCTATTCAAATTTGAAGTCAATCACCATAAATCTTTAATCTTTAAGATAATCTTCCATTTGCAAAAAATCTTCCAAATTATGCCCCCATAGGTGCAAAATCACCAACGTGGAGGTGGTGGAAGAGTATTTAGAAAACTCTAGAAAAATCGGCTTAAAAACCAACTTGTACAACAAATGTGACTGGTTGCGGCTAAACCTACGCTGAAAGTTGCTTGCACTCGGTTCCCTGGGCAAACAGTCCTATTGCAGGTTGTGGCGCGGCTAAACCCGCACACGGGCTTGCATTATCCACTGTTTGACTCCCAAATGCCTCTTAGGATTTGGCATAAAAACCACTCAATATCCAATTAATATCAATTACCAACGGAGCAACTTCATAAAAAATACAATTTGAGGTCAAAATATCAAACGGAATGCAAATGCAATATTATTGTCCAATTTTCAGGATGTTACAGTTTGGACCAAGGCCACAAATGATTACGTCTAATAAAGGAATAGAGGGCTAAGAAAATCCCTATAACTAATAGAGGGGAGATAGACAACTAGTCCCCTTGTAACTAGATGGCTAATAGGTTAACCACTTCTAGCTAGATCGCTAACGGTTTTTGGAAGAAAAGTGGTGAGTTATAGATGACCTACATTAGGAAAGAAAGACGGAATAATTTGACGTCTATTCAAATAAACAAAATCAAACCACACAAACTCTATATATCCCACTTTCAAGCGGGGTCTTGAGAGTGGGATGTACACGAAGTTGTACTCTACCCCAAATGATCAATCTTTTGTTAAGACCCTAGGTTTGTACATAAGTATGAGCGAAAAGGGATAAAGCACAACCAAGACAAACACATTGAAAAAGCATGATGGAACATATAAAAACTAAGAGTATGTTTTATACGTAGATGGGAGGGGATCCGTCATGACTAAACGAGCGAGAAATTTGTAGGGTTTTTAACTTGACAATGGTAGTTTAGTAATTTATCAATTTTATCCATCTCACTTATTTTTGTCCACATATTTTGGTGGGACATGAAATATTCATTTGTGTCCCACTCATATACCTCTGTCCTATTCCAATCTAATGTTGTACCAAATATAGAACAACATATTTTGTACCGTCATATATCCCAACCTGTTCTGCAGAGCAAATGCACCGTAGGAAACACATTACACATCCCACCCTACAATATGCTCCCAACACCTATTCAAATCTGATCAAGAAAGCAAACTGCTCCATCCAAATCAACATGGATCAAAAATATTGAAGAAAAACTTGTTAATATCCTCGAATTTTATAACAAATGCTACCATTATAAACATGATTCTATAAGATTCCAAACAAAATCCATATCAATTTAACCTAAAAAGGGATAACAATTACCATGCCTCTTTTTGGGAAGAAAGCAGTATTTGACATGATGCATATCACACATCAAATGAGAACTGTAAACTTCAGAAATAGAAAACAAATTGTCACCTTTTCCTCTATACCAAAACACTATAATCATTCTGCTGTGCCATGTCACCATTTTCAAGAGACGACACCATGCCGCCGTGGTCGGAAACCGCACCACCAGATAGCAAATTATCATCAACTTCCTCAACCGTTGGACAAAAACCGGAATCATCTATCCCATTGACGGCATCGGAAATCCGGTGGGTTTCATCCACTTTTCCAGGGATATAACAGAGTTGGGAATCATCTGGTGGCGGAAGGCAAATCTCGACTTCATTATTTTCGATATGATCCATCATGTCCATAGATGTAGGAATACAGAATTGTTGTTGACTGGATGTTGACTGGAACTGTTCTGAATCGTCTTTTCTCCTGCGTTTAATACCCATACCTTTTCTTCTTATCCGTTCTTTGCCTCTTATTTTTTTGTCGACTTCATTTTGATCGGAGTCGGTTATGTCTGCAATCATCGTGTTTCCAATTTGGTCTCTCAGGCATTCATGAGCAAGATACCGGATTCTAGTCACTGCATGCATTTGTTGATCATCCATCCCGTGTGTTGACACCATGTCTGCTACATTCGCTATGTCCCTCAATGCAGCATTCTGTCGTAAATTGTAATTATATGAGTGAAATAAATTTTATCAAATGAAAAGCTAAAGCGTTCTTATTGCATAACCTAATAACAGCCTAAAAATTTGGAAATATAACTCCTAATCTTTTCCATGCAATCCAACTTGGGTATTTTTGGCAAACCAACTAATAACCTAGCCGTTGGCTGATAAATAGATGTTAGCCAAAAAGCTAGGTGTTAGATGTTAGCTGAAAAGTTAGTTGTTGGCTAAGAAGCTAACTGATAAACTAGTTAAGTTTGGTATCACTAGCTGATAAGTTAGATCATAGATGATAGTGTAAAATGACCTAAAGGACATGTTGAAACATTAATTGGAAAAATACAAGGCATAATTGAAGATTTTGGAAGAAAAAAACCCTGAGCTTATTAAAATGCTAATATTAATAAAAGTGGTCTTTCAAAAAGCTAGCTTAAAATACAAGGGGCATAATTGGAGAAAAGTGTAAAAAGCCCATGGAGCTTATTGAAACACAAATTAAAGTAGCTTTTGTCAAGTTAGCTTATGGCCAACCAAACTGAGCTTTCTCAATAAGCACAAAAAGCAAGATAGCTTATGGTTGCCAAACATGGCTCTACAAATTTGGCGTTTTAGAATATTGAAGAACGACAATACAACAGTCGATGCATACTTCTGTTTTGACGGTCAAATCTGCAGTTGGATCTCAATTGTATATATAACCGGTTTAAGAAAGCATTTTACCCTGTAGGCCGATATTTGATCTCTAATGCAGCTTCTAGTTTAAGATAATGTCGAAGAAGAATGGGCTTGAAAATAGAACGATTTTGCAGTAACCATATGTTCAGCATTTAGAAACACGTAACAAGACCAACAAAAATTAACGAATTTCCTCCCCTTTGGAGGAACATGCTTGTTCAAACACACAAATTCAGGAAAGAGAGAATATGCAGGACAGAAAAAAAAAAGAACTTGTCCAACATTTGACATGACACTGGATTGGGACATGACATTTGAGTAAAACAAAAATGCATTATTCTGTCCCACGAAAGTAGGTGGAACGAAATTTAAAAGAGATGGGATTACCAAAATACACAAGTCAAATTAAAACCCTAAGAAATGTGGCTCTCCCCTGTCCAGTCTAGTCCATATACCAAATACACCCAAGAAAACAAGGTTTCAGCCAAGGCTGTTCACCTCTCCAGATCAATAAACTAGAAGGATCACTGTTCGCTGTTAATAGTAGGATGTGATAAAAAGAAAAGTTGCAGATCTAACACTCTTCTTCATTGGGTTCTATTCTCAATCTTTCTAAGTTTGTAATAGTGTAGTAAAGAATACAATCAATGGTTGGTTAGGAAGGGGGCAACGATGATGGAAAAGGTGAGGCGGTGAGGGAGAGAATAACGAATAAGATGCAGATGAACATTCCATGGTCGAAGAGCACAGATTACTTGTAGAAAAAGGAGAAATCAATTAGTGGTAACCATGACAGGCCTGAACTGCAGAATGTTTGTGCTTCTTGAGTAGATATAGACGGTGTAAACCAAACAAACACAGTAAAGCACATGCAGGTAGGGTGGGGGTAGGAGGTACACAAACCTTTCCTCTACCCAGAGAGGTTGTTTCCATGAAGACCCCCGGCTTGTAAAACAAAAAAAAAGGAACAAGAGAGCAAGTTACAGATAAGGTTGTGTGCAATCAAGTAATATGTACAATGATCATAGAAGGACAGGGGAACAGAGACAAAAGTGAGGTATATATGTTAAAAACAATCAAGGAAACACAATGCACAATACCGATCACTACTAAGTAATAATACAAGAAGAAAAGCTAAGACTAGTGTACAGTAGGAATGTAGCACAACTAGAAACAACATAGCAATAGACATTATAAGTAGGAAGAACTATGGCATCTATCTATCTGACATAATACTAGGTATACCATCATCAAATTGAAGCTTTCTCTAGTCAGGCATAAAAATAGTATCAAGTTTATCAATAAAAAACTGGAGGAAGGAATTAATTTCTCCACGCAGGTCCAAAAAGCAAGGTTAAACAGATGAGCATAATTTGGATGAGGGTAGTAAGACGTGTGTGAGTATGCATAGGCCCTAAATAGATTACATTTAAATGCAAAAGATGTTAAGTGGACAATTTATGCCAAATATTAAATAGCATGCAATATGATTAATATAAAACAATTACATGTTATTTGAAAAATCAAACAGAAAAAATTTAAAGCAAATTTTTAGTAGTGTAACAAAATAGGTGTTGATTGGTTGTACCATTCTTTGAAACTCGGAGGAGATGGGAATCGGTCTTCCAACCAACTTGCGAGTGATTTTCAAGTACCAATGCAAGTATTCACTTTCTTCAACATCTTCATCAACATCGACAACACGGAGATGACGGTCTGACCATTCACTTAGCTCCGTTTCCATTTTCCCAGACAAGTCTACCCCACCATCCACTCCACGGCTCTTCCTTTCCCATTGCTGTACATCAAGGGGGATAGGTTGTCGCAAGCCAAATTGCCTTAAGCAACGATCTGGCAGGTGCCTTTCAGCCTTATCAAAGCATATCAACATTGTATTTGATCTTCCAAGAATAAGATTATCTCTTATATCTTCTGGTAAAATTGCGCAATTAATATTCATGTATGGACACCACTCAACCTATTAGAGTAATGAAATGAATAAGTCGTCATTCTTCAAAAATGAAGTATGGTACTGTCTAACCAGATCCCATCAGAACTCTGCAAGTTAAGTATGGTACTGTCAAGCAATTAAAGCGGTCATTTATGAAATCACGGTCAGAACCGTGATTTGATATAGCGTTATCACATTGGTAAAGCGGTAATTTTTGGTTCATATAATAAATACAAATATTTGTATATAAAGAAGTAAAAAGTTAAGATAATATATAAGTAAATATCTCTACCTCATATAATGAAGTATGGTACAGTTAAACAAAGTGGATAAAGTAACTTACTTCAGAGGGCTTCAAGGAGTCCAATGCTTTACGGTAAAAGGCTACATCCCGGTTAGTTGTTGGACCTGTATGTTTCCCTTTCCATCTAAATACAAATGGAAATCGATCATGGGTTGGATCATGATTAAGCCTCGGTCGACCAATATTCAGGCGAAAGTAACTCCAGCACTACAAAATGGAACAACTTTTACAAAGTTTAACTACGCTTAGGAACATTTACCAAAAATAATTTGTTTATGGAGAATATGAAAAAAGGGAAAATCACAAAAATAGCAATTTTTACAACAAAAGTTCACCAAATACCAATTTTTTAAGATATATATCACAAAATAGCTTAAGATTCTGCAAATTGGCTTAGCAAATTTGCGAATTCTTTTTTTTCCTTTTGAATTTTTTAACATATTTGGTGGAGCTTCTGCAAAATAGTCCATAAAAAGCCTAATTTTTGCGACATTTCTATCAGATACCCATCCCCTAATTTCTGTCATTTTTGCAGCATTTTTGGGAGGAGAGAAAAGAGGGAGCGGAGAGAAGAGAGGCGTACGGTCTCTTCTTTCTGCCCTCAGTTTTCTCCCAAAAATCTGCAAATCTAACACAAAAAACCGCAAATCTGCAATAAGGCACACAGAAACATTAAAAAAATTCTAAAGAAGTACAAATCGCAAATTTGCTAAGCCAATATGCAATTTTCCAGGCTATTGCGTGATAATTGTACAAATCGGCTATTTGGAGAATTTTTCTTCCAAAAATAGCTATGTTTGTTATTTTCCCAAAAAAAAAGCATAGTCGAAGGCACCTGCAGTAGGGTCAAACAGCCACTAATGGTGCTTTGGGATCTAAGAGAAGCATTACCAAGCGCTCTATATAAGAATGACAATGCTGCTGCACCCCAGGCATACCTCCCTGCCTGATCAAAGTTCTCAAACAACGGAAGATACATAACCGGGACCTTATTCCCAGTAGTGGTTGAAAAAACCGTGCTACCGACAAGATATAGAAGGTAAGCGCGTGTATGGCGCTCGATTTCATCAAATGGAGCATCTTCAGGACATCGAGAAAATGTCTCTTTTAACCAACTAAGTTTCACCATCCCACCACTTGTTGATCCAGAGTCAGGTGTTCGACCTAAATACCTCATGCATACGGCATCACATGTAGTGTAAGTTACACCGATGACAGGCTCACCATCAATTGGGAGCCCAAGAAGGTAACCAACATCTTCCAGAGTTACCGACATTTCTCCAACAGTAAAATGAAAAGTATTTGTTTCTCTTCTCCACCTCTCAACAAGAGCAGATATGAGAGGGTTGTCCAGACTGATTGCCGGAATTAGTCGTAAGTAACCGAATCCTGCCTTATTTACTAACTCAATCTGTTTCGAAGTGAGTGTCCATTGATCAAGCTTCGATGTGTGTTCGTGACATCTAAGTGCACCACGCTCCTGTGATTATAGATGTTATAGAGTTGATTTAATTACCATACCAAGTAAGCAAGTACTCCCTCTGTTCCAATGTGCACATTTCTATTTAGTTTCCTCTACCCTTAATTACAAGGGATATATATTTAAATATTAATGAGATGGAGAATTACTTAGTGAAAGAAAAGTTGTAATAATTAAGGGTAAAATCGTCATTCAGTTAATTAACAAGTGTAATAATCATATATTTATAAATTTTGTGTTTGTTCATTGTGGACATTTGTTTTGGATCAGAGGGAGCAAAAGAAGAACTTGAAAGCCAGCAAAACTTCACCTGACCCTCCCAAACGGCTGATGAAACATGCTTTTCTTGATCATACAATACAGAATCATCAATAGGTCCAGGATTGGTTGCATAAAAGTCCATGGCAGCTAATAATATAAGAACTGCCAAAACATGCAAGAAAAGAGTGCAAGATCTTAAGAGGGATGAGTTGGCACAATATGTGAAACTCAAGAACATAACTTAAGTCCACGAGTTCATTCAATTTAGTCAAAACTCAAAGGAGAACAGCAGAAAGTAGAAATGTTTGGAGATTAAACTGAAGAACAAAGCTAAAACTCGAGGTGTTCATTGATAGCACAAGAACATAAGTGTACTAAGGTCATGGAAAATAATACCATAACAAGTACATAATCATGCATGCTTTATTTTCGACTGAATGATTTTTTGGGCAATACAACCCACCTTTGCTAATATTCTTTTGTAAGATTTCATAATTACCACAGGCTGTAGGCAATTTCAGCGCCACGTTTGCAAAGAGGTGAAAAGTAATATCTGACAAATACTTTCTGGACAGATCAAACTGACAAATGGAGAAAGAGGTACCATCGGCGGGATCTTATTGTTGCAAGGCTGCAACTTTATAGTACTTGCCAGTAACTTGCATACCCTTCCCTACACTTAGAATCAATGATAGGAAAGGCTACCATCATTAATTTCATTTAGTGGTAGATCCTACTCAGTTACTTCAGTATTCGGCTGTTTAATTTGTTGTGCCCCACATCCAGAACATAGTGTTTTATTATGGCTTTGTTAAGTGAGACTATTTCACTCTATAAAAAAGAGGTGGCAAATCCACAAGTCAGGTCGGACTGGATAACAGGTTAGGATGCGTGAGGGTTAAGACTTATTTTCAAAGACTATAATGAGGTGTTTTAAGAGCCTAAAATGGCTGCCTCCCAAACTGCAGCATGATCGTAACGTCCTCAAGCCAGACAATGCACCCATCCATTTTAGGAAATAAATAAGAAAATATAAGAAGAAAAAGAAGCATCTGGGAATTAAAACAAGGAAAGGAGAATAATTATGACCTGAAAACGAATAATTATGATCCAATAAAGCCAATTACTAGCTATGGTCCAAGTGATTGACAGCCTTAGGAAGGTGAAAAATGCTATAGGCTCATAATGTTTGGGTCCATATTAACTAAATTACCACATTATGGGACAAACCAAACAGCTAAAGATGCGACACCAAATTCAAGAACTCTACTTTTAAGGGTATTAAAACATAGAGACGTGATTTGTGGGCAGTTTTGGCCTTACTAGCCACCAAGTATCATGATAGTTTAAGAATGTGGATTTGTAGCAAATCCATTCATAAGATTACCTTAAAATATATGTTCCCAATATCAAGACAGGCATTCAGTGTCAAATTAATCTCGTTAGCAGATGATGTTTGCATCCATGAGGCCGAAGAGTGGAAAACAGTCTTAAAGGCCATAGAGGTTCTGCAAGTGCTTAGGCATGCCCTTTGTCGAACCAATGCACTTGGAACCTTTATAGGGAACTTTCGTTAGATTAATGAACCAAATGTGTAGCCCCTTTATTGGCCAATTTGTGGTAGCTTACGATGATCAAATTCCTGTGAATTGTAGACTTCAGAAGAACACTTGCTTCACTTATCTCACTTGTTAGAAATCATGTGCTTCGAACAACTATATGCAAACTTAAAGTGCATGTTAGCTCAAACTTCTACCATGATCCCTGGGTTTCCTGTTCCATCTGATGAAGTCTCGGTTAATGATGCAGTACAGAATCAAGCTTCTTCTCAATTAAGCCCAATCAATTATAGGCCTACCACTTGGAAAGTCTATGTGAGACGGCCCAAGGCCCATAAAGGGAATTAGTAATTTGGAGATATTAAAATAAGGAGTTTTGGCTTGTTGTGGAGGCATGCAAAAAAATAACCGTCAGTTAGGCTCTAGCTATCGCTTGGAAAAGGGAATTCTTCCCTGGGATCCTTCAGCGGATTGGAGACTGTATCGTCTTCTTCCTTTCTTCCATATTGTAATCCTTCTGTTTGTTTCTCAATTAATTTGAATTGCTTACGTAATCAATCGATTACGTAACAATGGTCCGACCTGCCGGATCTATGGAGACACGTCTACAAGCTCGATTGGAAAACCATGATGAACGGATCCAACAGCTTCATTCAGATGTTCAGGGAATTAAATCGTCCCTCGAAACCATGAAGGAAGATCAAGAGGAACAAAAGGAATTCAGATCGTATATACTCTCATGGGTGAAGTAGCCACAAGGTAAGAATCAAGAAGCCGGAGAAGGTTCTCCAATGAACACTAATATTCCTCCTCCGTTCAATGTCAATTCAGGGAGATCTGGTACTCCCCCTCCGTTCAATTTCAATTCAAGGAGATCTGGGGAGAATATGCACTACGTGATAAAGAAAATCAAACTTCCAGAATTTTTCGGATTTGACCCGCGTGGTTGGATTGCTAAGGTAGAATTGTATTTCGAGATTCATGGGACACCGAACAATCTGCGAACTCGTTTGGCTCAAATCAGCATGTCTGGAGTTGCTCAACACTGGTTTGCGGTGGTAAAGGAAATCCATGGAGAATTGACGTGGGAGAATTTGACTCGGGAACTATTACAGAGATTCAGTGGATTGGAGATTCAGAACCCTTATGAACAGTTGTCTACGATTAAACAGGTAAACTCAATCCATGATTACATAGATGCTTTTAAATATTTGTTATCCCTTGTGCCTCGATTGCCCGAGTCCTAAGCCTTGGGGTATTTTTTGGCGGGTTTACAACCGGAGGTGAAGCGATGGGTACATCTCCATCATCCTCAAACTCGATTAGACGCCATGTATTTGGCAAAAGATGTGGAGGAGATGCTCCATCCATCGGAGAATTCGACTTTAACAGCGAGGTATCGATACCTGGGACATTCTTTGTTTTCTGATAAAAATTTATCTGGGATTCCGTTTGGTCAAATGGGCCAAAATGGATTTAAAGCCCAAAACCCTAGTGTTGGACCTGAACGCCGACAAGCCACAAGAGCCGAAACATCCGGTCCATCTCGTGTCTCCTCTAATTCGACGGTGGGTGGTCTTGTGCGGAGTGAATCGACACAAAATTCATTCTCTCAAAATCGGGGTGTTCGTACGTTGACTCGAACGGAGTGGGAGGATCGTCGCAAGAAAGGGTTGTGCTTTAAATGTGGCCAACAATTTGGACCATCGCATACATGCCCTGAGGCAAATTTCAGGGTTATGCTTTTGGCGGATGATGAAGAATCAGAGTTTGAAGGAGATCTTCGTTCGATTGATATGAGAAAAGGCGAGGAGGCGTCGAACGAACAGAAGGGGGATATGGGTGAGTGCTCGATTATTGAATTCATGGGTGCAAGTGATATTTCCAAATCAAGGCTCAATACAATCAAATTGGAAGGTATGCTTCGTGGAATTCCTATTGTTGTATTGGTTGACAGTGGTGCCACTCACAATTTCGTTTCTAGTCGTTTAGCAAACACACTTGATCTCTCAATTTCGTCATTTGAAGGGTTGCAAATCAAACTAGGCAATGGACGCAAGGTTTTTGTGTCTAAAAAGTGTTCGGCGATAGCATTTACATTGGGTGCATGTGAATTTGTTGTCCATGCTTTGTTGTTCGAGATGGGAAGTTTGGATATGGTGTTGGGAATTAAATGGTTACAGACTTTGGGTGATGTCATTCACAATTGGGAGTCTCAGTCGATGAGGTTTTGGCGTCACGGTCAATAAGTCTGTTTACAGGGAATTCCATTCCCTTCGTAAATTTAATCATCGTTTCGCAGCTTACTGTCTAATACTGAAGCTTCGTTAGTCTCATCCAAGTGTACGGTTGATCAAGTCCTAGGGTTATCATCTGAACTTTCTAAACACCAATCACAACAATTATTTGTGCATTTTGTTTCTGTTTTCGGTAAGATCACAAGGTTACCTCCTGTCCATAGTACGGATCATGCTATCAATGTGTTACCGAATCAGGGTCTGGTGTGTGTACGCCCTTATCGTCTCATGTACACAAAACGGAAATTGAGCGACAGGTCCCGAAGCTGCTGTCTATCGGTGTTACTCGTTCAAGCAACAACGCCTATTCTAGTCCAGTAATTTTGATACGAAAGAAAGACCAAACCTAGAGAATGTGTGTTGATTATAGAGCTTTGAACAAAGCTACTGTTCTTGATAAATACCCAATTCCTGTTGTGGAAGAATTAGTTGACGAATTGGCACAAACATAATATTTCTCAAAATTGGATCTCAAATCGGGTTGTAATCAGATTAGAATGACCCCAGAAAGTGTGGAAAAAACGGCTTTTCGAACACATGATGGCCATTACGAATACCTCGTAATGCCATTCGGACTCACCAACGCTCCTGCAATGTTTCAAGCCATCATGAATGATATTTTTCGTCCATATTTACGTAAGTGTGTAGTCGTGTTTTTTGATGATATTTTGGTGTATAGTCCAACATGGAAACAACACATTTGTGATCTTTCTTTGGTATTACATGTTTTGATGACTAATCGCTTTGTGGTGAATCAAGAGAAATGCTCATTCGGTCAATCATCAGTGGAGTATTTAGGCCATATTATTGATGGGAAGGGAGTCTCGATAGATCTTAAAAAGGTCCAAGCAGTTTTGGATTGGCCAACTCCAAAACAAGTTAAAGGAGTTCGTGGGTTTCTTGGACTAAGCAGTTATTACCGAAAATTTGTTCGGAATTATGGATCGATTGCTAAACCATTGACCGAACTTACAAAAAAAGATAATTTCCATTGGAATGAAGTGACACAACAGTCTTTTGATCTCCTTAAGACTGCCATCACGACGGCTCCCGTGTTGGCTTTTCCAAATTTTTCAGTTCCTTTTGTAGTGGAGTGTGATGCTTCGGGTTGTGGCATCGGGGCTGTTTTAATGTAACAGCAGCGTCCTATTGCTTTTTTCAATAAGGTGTTGGGTGATCGTAACCTCTCGAAGTCGGCATACAAACAGGAATTATGGCGTTGGCTCTTGCCGTTCAACATTGACGAAGTTATCTGTTAGGGACTCAATTTGTGGTGTACACGGATCATAAAAGTCTAAAACATCTTTTACAGCAGCGTATCACCACCCCAGATCAATAGAATTGGGTGGCCAAATTGCTCGGATATAATTTTGAAATATGTTACAAGGCGGGTCGTGAAAACAAAGTTGCCGATGCTCTTTCAAGACGCAATGATAACGGAGAACTGAACTCAATGATGTACCAACTGATATGGGTACAATGCGCTCAATTATTAGACGAGGTCAAGTCTGATCCTCAGATTCAGCAGCTCATTCAAGAATGTCAAGAGAATGTCGGGTCCCATCATGGTTATTCTATGCATAATGGCGTTCTATATCACAAAAATCGATTGGTCATCTCACGGAATTCGAAATGTATTCCTATTGTTGAACGAGTTCCACACTTCAGCTACCGGAGGGCATTCGGGTTATTACCGAACGTATCGCCGAATTGCTACAAACCTTTATTGGTTGGGCATGAGTTTTGTTGTACAGCGTTTTGTGCAGTCTTGTGACATATGTCCGCGATGTAAGTCGAGTTCGTTGACTCCCACAGGCCTATTACAACCCTTGGACATTCCAGAGGTTATCTGGGAGCATTTATCCATGGATTTTATTCTGGGGTTGTCTAAATCCAAGGGATTTGATGCATTATTAGTCGTGGTGGATCGATTATCCAAGTATAGTCATTTCATCCTCCTCAAACATCCATATACGGCTCGAAATATCGCGGATGTTTTTGTTCGAGAGATTATTCGACTTCACAGTATTCCCAAATCGATTGTCAGCAATCGTGATCCACTCTTTATGAGTCATTTTTGGCAAGAAATATTTCGCCTACAAGGAACTCATTTACATATGAGTTTGTCGTATCACCCGGAATCGGATGGGCAAACGAAAGTTATAAATCGATGCCTGGAGGCTTATTTACGATGTTTTGCAATCGATCAACCTCGTTCGTGGTCCTTATGGGTTCCGTGGACAAAATTTTTGGTGTACGGTATTTCTCCTTTTGAGGTGGTGTATGGTCGCAAACCACCTAACATTACCCAATTCATTCACAGAGAAGTTCGAGTGGAGGCGGTGGGGCAAGAGTTAAAAGATCGAGATGAGGCCTTAAAGCAACTAAAAGTACATTTGATACACGAACAAGCTCTAATGAAAGCACAAGCAAATAAAAAAAGACGCAATGTGCTTTTCCAAATCGACGATCAGGTCTATGTCAAGTTACGTCCTTATCGTCACCTATCGATGGCTCAACGCATTCATCAAAAGTTAACGGCTCGTTATTTTGGTCCTTTCCAAATCGTTGAGAAGGTGGGTTCGGTAGCATACCGTTTGCAGTTACCTCCATCATCTAAAGTGCATCTTGTTTTTCATATTTCGTTGTTGAAGAAAGCTGTACAGGGACCCGCATCTCTGACTGTCAAGGGGACATTGTTCTTCAATGGCTCATTCAATGGAAGGGACGTCCATTAGAAAAGGCGACATGGGAGGATGCGTTGACTATTCAAAGTCAGTTTCCTGCTGGTCTTAAGGACAAGACCAGTTTTGATGGAGGGCCAAGTGATGCAGTACAGAACCAAGCTTCTTCTCAATTAAGCCCAATCAATTCTAGGCCTACCACTTGAAAAGTCTATGTGAGACGGCCCAAGGCCCATAAAGGGAATTAGTAATTTGGAGATATCATAATAAGGAGTTTTGGCTTGTGGTGGAGGCATGCAGAAAAATAACCGTCAGTTAGGCTCTAGCTATCGCTTGGAGTCTGGAGAAGGGAATTCTTCCCTGGGATCCTTCTGTGGATTAGAGTCTGTATCGGCTTCTTCCTTTCTTCCGTATTGTAATCCTTTCGTTTGTTTCTCAATTAATTCGAATTGCTTACATAATCAGTCAATTACGTAACAGTTAACCCTTGAATGTTAGAACCAAAGTCATAAGAACATAAAAAAGGATTACTTGGTAGTGACAGGTTTTGAAAGATGCCTTACTTCATCCGATGTAGTAACACCTTCACACTTCCCATATGGTTAATTAGTTCCTGAATGAGATTGTAAGGTTGGATGTATTCTTGTGAAAGGAGCCCATTTACACAAAACCGACCTGAAAACAACTTTGGTGCCAACCTAGTGTCAGCTTCGCTCGTTAAGGTGCATCCCTTTGCTTGTAAAGCAAGGTACAAGCAAGGTGCCCATTGCACAAGGCATAGAGAGATCAAAGTTTTTCTTCCAAGTTGGTTTTAATGAATCACAAGTTATTTGTCTAACGCCTTTTTAATTTATGCATAACTCCAGCACAAAAGGTAGTTTGGACATAGTACAAAAAGAGAAACAAATATGAAACATTTGCATTTCATGCCTTCTCTCTATCTGTTTAAGCATCATTCTAACATACAAAAGAGAACAGAAATATTAAATTTCACATTTGTGCCTTCTCCTTATTCTGTCCCTTCACTTGTGATCTTTTTCTTATCCTAGATGTTATTTTTTTTCCAACAGGCTATAGATTAATTGAATGCCAAGGGTTAGCATGATGTTTATGTGAATATAAAATCCACTAGTTGATTGAATATCAATTGTTATCACTTGTATGATGTTGATGCTTATACAATTCAATACCTATCCCTAAAAGTAAATGGTTAGTTGATATTATACAAGGATCTTACCCTTACACTAATCCTAGTCACCCTGCTACCACATCCTTCTCTATCTACTTGTTTCTTCTCCATGATAGGTATGGAGGTAATTGAGAATGTTGTTAATGAGACAATGACCAAATAATAGCAGCTTAGGTAGGGATATACATATGGGCAGGACAACTTCGTTTATAAATAAATTAGAGATATGCAAAAAAATATGCATTATTTCTTTGTTGTGATGTCGCCTAAGATATCCAAGGGTATCGTAAAGTGATCTCCCAAAGCCTTCTTTACAAAATAATTTCACCCAGCTTCCTGCCATAAGTTATTTCACCCAACATCAATAAACAGACATGTAGTGATGTAAGTGTTTTTTTCATATGCAATGTACCAACATATATTATCCATCAATGTCAACTTTCATCTTACGCATGCAATATTTGTTTTATGTAATTATGTTTGGCAATCTCTCTATTGGAGCAACACTGGTCCAAGCTGAGTTGGTCTCTTTTCTGCTTGTTTTTCTCTATATCTCCATCTGGTTGTGTGCGGTATAGTCATTTCGCTCATGATGAATGAAGCAAGATGAGAAGTAATGAATATCAAGAGATTCCAACCCATAAAATAACGTAAATTGGGAGAAATGAGACACAACTAAAGAGCTTACAATCAAGATCTTTCATTTTGCACAATTTAGTGCTTTAACCACTTGTTCTGTGTATGCCACCAACGATTCCACAACTTCCACTACCTTTTATATAGAATCATATCAATGAAACCTAATTTGACAAGTTACCAAGCATACAAGGAGCTTGTCTCTCAACTTCTTAACCTATAAACCTTTTGATATGATACATATCTTAAATGATAGGTAAATAATAATATCAAATTTTACAACCTGCAAAGCATGCCCTCTGAAAGGCTACCATCACAAACCAGGGCTTAGACATTCAAATTTGACAGCCATTACTGACCTCTTCTGAAACAAGGCTGCACATTTTGGATTTCCAGAAAATGGCAAATCAAAACCCTACTCACTACAAACTCCTAATCACACATATGGACAAACAAAGACGCACACGCATGCAACAAAGGATCTGTTTGACGGCAAAATCTTAACTACCACTCCGTCTGCCTCCCTCCCACGCAAACTACAACAATAACTAGTTTCACCCATACAATGATCTTTAAACTAACAAAACTATCCTTGTAAATGTATGATAAAAGGGTAAAAAACAAACAGTAGAAAATTTCAGAGCGATCAGACAAAGGAAGGCACTCACTGAAAATTAAAGAAGCGAGCTCGCTGCTACATTGACATTTATGAAAGTCCACATGTGTATATTTCTGAGAATTTAAAGGATTGAGGCTTGAAAATGATTTTCAAGAGAGAGGAATCAATGATGGTTAATCAGCGAATGGTAAGGTTCAGCGGATTTAGTGAAATTGACTTGGAGGTGCCGGAAATTTTGTACAACGACGGTGCGCCACTGGAAGACGACGAACGGAGAGAGAAGATAGAAGTTGATGCCCCCAGGTCTGCAATTTGATAAATACCTAAGACGACATAGTTTCTCTATGCTTCCGAGTGAAGTCACAAATGGTCCCTAATCTATCTACAAAATGCAAGTTTAGTCCCTACATATTATTTTTTATCATCATTTACATCCTTGGACTATATGTTAACCAGCAAGTCTAGTCCAGTAACTTATTTTTTTGCATTTTTTGTCCAAAATAATAATTGATTCTTTTAACATTTTGGTCTTCAGTAATATTCCAAGAATTGCCTTAAAAAATATAACAAATAAAAAGAGAGCATTACATGAGTGGTCCTCTGTGTTATGTCACAATTTTGGGTTATATACACCGATGATCTATATTTTATGTTTTCTATAATAGATTGATCGTTCGAGTTTTGTTAGTCACCTTGATAATTACAGTTTCAATCAGGTAACAATGAATTAAATAATCAAGAAAAACAATCTACAAATCAAATCATCATATATAATGATAAATTCTCACTCTACATGTTTCTCTTTCTAACTTCTCTCTAGAATGTATTGCAATGAGTTGTAACTACAAATTAAACTAACATATGCTATTTATATCATTGACTAAACATATAAGACGTCAAACTATAATTAAGCACAATGTTGACTTTTATTGACTATGTTGACTTTAAATTTTGACCTTCCCATCTTTAACAATTGTCTTCATAAATGATTATCTTGGATACAATAATATTTGACCTAACAATCTCTCCCTTTGTATTCAAGATCACAATTAAGCAAATATCAACACTCTAACAATCTCCTTCTTTGAAGACGGTCAAACTTTGTTACTCTTTGAAAGACGAATCTGGAAAATAACAATCTCCCTTTTTTTTTAACAAACATAACCTTTAGATCAAAACCTTCACCTTGAAATAATCTTCAACTATCAACAAATCTTCAAACGAATCTCTTGAAACAATAGACAAGCTTTAGACATTTAGGCTTTAAGCTTTCACACTACATATACTAAGCTTATCACCTTTATATCATGAAAGAATCCAACTTTATCAACAATCTTCTTCAAACAACTTTGTCTTGCAAGCCGAACGAATCTTTATGGATATGTCAACAATAAATCTCAACAAGTCATCACAAATTCTTCAAATCAGCACCAACCTTTTCATCAACATCTATAATCTTCAAATCTTATTGCTTTTCAACCTTACATCCAAAAGATTTAGATTCAACCCATCTCTTTCATAAACTGAATCAACAATAACACCAGTTAACCATCTTTAAAATCTCTTCAATATAACCACTTGCAGTTTAACTTCCCTTAAATATGATCTATTGTAAACTCCCCCTTGACATCAGCACTAGCTTCACATGTCTTTGAATTCAATATTATTAATCTCCTATAACATTCACAGAATCTCTTCATGTCTTTGCATAATGTCCTTCATATTTTTGTTCATGTCTTTGATTTAATACTTGAAAAGTACTTATTCTTACAGATACTGAATAGAGAAAAAGGATAAATTTTTATGAATTGAATTTGAAGCAATTTCATAAGAGAAAACATAATCAGTATCAGTTGAATCGTTATATGGTGAATGAATAGTAGTATCTGGACTAGTCTATTTAGAAAATTCAACCTTTTCTTAATTCTCTTTGATTATCTGTTTAGTTTTGAAAATTACATTTTCAAGTTCCTTGACTTTATCAGATAAAACATTCAATTCTCTAATACTCAAATCAAATTTTGTTTGAAATTCAGATCTCATTTTCTTCTTAATCACAAGATCTGTTTCTAATCCAGATAACTTCTTTGAAAGTTTCAAAATTTCTTCTTCAAACATTTTTCTCTCATCTTCAAAATCCTTTTCCAACTTCTTCCTCTTATCAGATATATTTCTTTAAGAATTTCAACACTCTTCTTATGAGTTGTTTTCTTGTTACTCTTAAAAACAATTATCTGTTTTGAGAGTTCAATAATCTTTGCTTGAAAAACTCTTTTTCCAACCTCAGATTTTTCTTTTTCCTTCTCGAACTTATTTCTTTCAATCACAACAATCTTTTCAAATTCAGAAATATGTTTTGAAAGCTTCACAGTTGTCGTCTCACGAGATTTAATTTTGCTTTCAAAGCCTTTCCTTCAGAATCAAACTTTGTTCTTCTCATTAGTAAAAATCTTTCTTTCTTTCTCAAATACTTTTCTCTATTTATCTAGAACCTTTTCAAGTTCAAATATTTTATTTGAAAGCTCAACATTGTTCTTTTATAATTAGAATCTTTCCTCTCAAAATATTATTTTCTTTATAAACTCAGATAATTGCTTTTTCAAAAACTTCTTTTCTTCAGCAAGTTTTTCTTTTTCTTTTTTTTAAACTTTTTGTCCAGCTTCACTTGTCAGCATTTTTAGCTGAGACAGTTAAAAGCACATTAAGTTTATCGCATTCCTCTTGTGCGATAACCTCTTTTATCACACGATATAGATCTATGAACAGTAGTATATCGCACGCTTCTTGTGCGATAACCCTGTATATCACATGACTCTTGTGCGATAAAACTCTTTGTTGTACGATGCTTTGCGCGATAAAACCTGATATCGCACGCCTTTGTTATGCGATAACTCTGTTTCTCACACACAACTACGTGTGGTAACTTTGAAGATTCACTTGTGCGACGACTCTGAATATACACTTGTACGATAACTCTGAATATGATCATAGATCTCGAAAAATGATGTAGAAACACAATTAATGAAGATTCTAATCACAAATAACAAGAATTTGATCAAATTATCAAGAACCGGTGTTCATGAACTCAAAAAACCAAAAATCATCAAAAACTTCAAATTGGATGATCAAAACTTCAAATTAGATGATGAAAATTCACAGAAATAATCTATGATGTGTTTCGAACATATTTGTATCAAAAGATTAAGCAAAATTCATAAAAACCGTCAAAATCAAGATAAAACAGTAAATTTTTCAAGAAACACAAAAAAATCAAAAATCTTCATCAAATCAAAATCAAATCGAATTTGTTCTGATACCAATTGATAATCTCAGTTTCAATTAGGTAACAATGAATTGAACAATCAAGAAAAAAAAAATTAGATATCAAATCATGATGTATATTGATAAATTCTCTCATTATACATGTTTCTCTCTCTAACTTCTCTCTAGAATGTATTACAATGATATATAACTACAAATTAAACTAATACATGCTATTTGTATCATTGACTAAATATACAAGAAGTCAAACTACAATTAAACACGATGTTGACTTTTGTTGACTATGTTGGCTTTAAGTTTTGACCCTCCTATCTTTAACAATTGTCTTCATAAATAATGATATAGGATACAATAATATTTGATCTAACACATCCCATATGTGTCTCATATAAAAGGCAATTAGTCTTTTTACACCAATTTTTCTTCTTTAAGAAAATAAAAATACAATACTTGTTCTTTAACCCAATACATACGCAAAGCGTGACCCCCTCCCTTCCTTTTTTCTGGTGAACTAAATCGTGAAATACATGTTCCCTTACTTTCTTTGGCGAAGTAAATCGTAAACACGCTCCCCTTTCTTTCTTCGAGGAACCAAATGGTAACCCCCTGTTTGTCTAGTGAACCTCGCACCTACCCTCAATTTCACTATGAGACCTCTAACGAAACTGAAATAACATGATATGGCTCATTAGAAAGAAATCCATGAATCAATAATATCGATCTTGATGTTTGATGAAGTGTGTGTTACTGCTGCAATATGTTTAAATTTTATTGCAACAATGGCTTTAAGAACTACAAGCAAAGAGATAATCACTCCCAATGGATTCACCGCCATCATTAGTGAAATTTTTGATAAAAAATATATCTCCTTTTCATTTTGAAATTGTAAGTTTGTTTGAATCCTTTTATGGTAATAACTCGATTTACGCAAGCCTTTTCGGATTATACAACAAACAGGTAAAAATTGCTAGCAATTCTCATTTGGGTGTAGATATACCGCAAATACCCATGCACCCTCCACATCTTTGGTAAACTTTGAACCCTTAAACTCATTAATATTGAGCTCCATCATACTCGAAAATGATAATTTTGTTGTGTAATGCATAATATTTTGTATGTTGTAGACTTTATCATGAAGAAAGGGTTTGGAAGAGTGAAGAAATTCAGACTTTCATTATCGTTTTCTCAAGAGGAGGGTGTTAAGACATTCATCGCTAATTTGAATTCTCAATTATCTAGTAAACTTTGGACTCGTCTTGGAAAGGAAACCATTTATAACGAGTTTTGATGTTGAATTGCTCATCCCTTTATATCTGCAAAAATTCTTTTCAAAAAATGTTGTTGATCATCGATCTACATGTAACACCCTCAAATATGGAAACAACGACTAACTTAAAATTTTCGATAATACATCAAATATAGAATAAATTTCTTTTTAGTTGTCAATACTTGATTACCTAATATGGCAATATAGTATTTTTCATCAACAAAGAGTAAACCAAACCTTACACAAGGTATATAATAAGAACGAGTGTTACTAAAACCCAACCGACAATCATTATCTCAAAAATATGGAAGAACTCTAATTAGCTAATTCTTTCTCGTATCTCTAACTAGCATTCGAATCTTCTCACTGTTGCTAGTACTTGCCCAATGAGGGCCTGATGTAAATGCCGACAAATAAAAAGGGTTAGGGTTAACGTCTAGTAAGTTCAAATGATTTACATCTTTAATATAAAACGATAAAACTGAAAGGACATTTGAATCACAATTTCACAAAATGGAATGTATTCATTATAAACTTAACATCTTTCCCAAAATCCACCATTTTCGTGATGGAAACTCATTAATTAAAATACTCAGTTAGATAGGAAACAAAACCCAATACTCACTCAAAACATGGATACACCATGATATTCAAATACTAAAAACATGGATAAAGCTCTATAATCCAAAACACCAAAACATGGATAAGGTCCAATATAC